CTGAGCAGGGTTGAGTAGGAGCACAGGGAGGCACCAATGTCCACTAAAGCCCCCCTCTCCAAAATGGGTCAGGCCCCATGTGGGGGTGCAGCCAGCCTCATTTACTGCCAAGAGAAAGGGCAAATGTCTGCTTCTCTCCCACAGCAGCTCCAGCAAGTGACTGGGAACATGGGAGAGTCCAGCTGAGACCCTGCTGATGAGGTCAGGCCTCCACTTCCACCCATGGTTCAGATTCCGGAGACCCAATGGCCTGCTGAGGAAGGTGAAGTTGGAGGTGGTGATTTCGAGCCCAGCTGCACTTCCCACATCTGGCAGCCAGTGTCAGGTTTACTGCTATCTATTGATAGCCCTCTCCCCACCCAACCAAGAAAAGCCTCCAGTTTTACTAGCCTGAGGCAGCCCAGGGACCCTTTGAATATCTGAAATGGGCCTTCACCCCTGCCTCTTTGCTAGCTTGTCCAGATCACACCTTGTCATCTACGAAAGAAATAGATGCATCTAGCACTGTAAAAGGTGTGGTGGTTTCAAGTGGCAGGCCCCAGACCAAATCCTGCATCTCTGCATCTTCTTTTCCTGCAAACGTATCTCAGGAGAAAAGAAGTCTTGAGATCTTGACCTGTCAACATGTGGGCATCAGTGGCTTTTGGAAAGTGGTGGCAATACTTTGAAGAACCAGAGCGCAAAGTACAGGTTTTTACAGATGGCAAAAACCTAGTTGCCAATCTGCATCCCCAGAAACTGGCACTAAAAGTCTTGGCTATAAAGGACCAACTATCGGGATCATCATAAATTTTAGTTTATTGAACGAGATGTGAAGTTACCAATAAAATCATAAATGCAACTTAGTTATGAGTGGTACTTGTCACCTTAGCGCGCACACACATACGTGGGTTTGAATGAGTGTAGCATAGTGTATAGTAGCTGCTGTAGTGATTCTGAGAGCACTGGTGTTAGTATATCTACCTATCCAAGGCCCTGTGGATTTGCTATTGATGGTCACCTTCCTCCCAGGTGATGTCTTCAGAAGGGGGTCGCCTGCTTGTCCTTCTGTCTCTTTGTCTTGGTAGGTCGGGTGCTGGATGAGAGGGCGCCACTGGAGGTCACGCTTCAGTGCCTTTTATCCCTTTCTGGCAGAATTGCATGATTCCCCAGTATCATCTTGGCTGCCCAATCCGGAAGTCGCTGTCCCACGTGGGTCTTGAGTACTGCATGACTGCTGTGCATCACAAGGATCTCTGCCTTCCGGTACGTGCAGTTTCGGGAGTCAGTTTGAGATTTTGATTAATTTAACAATGGTATTGTTAAGGGTTGCAGGAATAGTCAATAGGGTGGCTATCCCTAGCATCATGAACAAGTCCGCAGCGCTCAAAGAGTTGTCATAGAGTAAGGCTGGAAGAGACCACCAGAGGTCACCTAGTCCAACCCCCTGCCTGAGGCAGGATCAACCCTATCCAAAACATCCCATACAACCATCATCTGAACTGTACATAAGTCTGTCCCTAACCCTGATACAACGTATACCTGACACCTTGATCTTCCAGAGGTAAAGCAGGGAAAACACGGCTGCCAATGTCCTCCTCTAAAATGTTGTCAGCGTACTGTATACTGAAGAACTCCATGGCAGATGGCCAGACCCCGCTCCTGCTTCAGAGGAAGACAAAAACCCGACAGTCCATATCAATCTAAACATGGGGTAAAATTCTTTCCTGACCCCAAATATGGTATTTTGTCTGACCCTGAGCAGAGAATTGGCCAGCCCCAGTTAAAGTCCCCAGCCTTAACTTTAGCCAACACCCAATGCCTCTGGGGAGGCTTAAAACCTCTCTGATCCATATAGCAGAAAAAAAGGTGGTGGGGGGAGAGGCAGCATCCAACAGAGCCTAGAAGCCTGGGGAATATTCATGGTAGAAAATAGGCATCTCTACACCAAGATCATCCCTAACCAATAGCTCTTCAACCTCTTCTTGAACATCTCCAGCGATGCAGAGTGCGCACCTTCCCTAGGCATCTATTTAACTGCCTCGCTATTCTCACAGTGAAGAAGGTTTTCCAGATATCCAATGTAAATTTACTTTGCTGCAACTTCAAGCCATTGGTCTGTGTCATCCTCTCTGCAGTGAGATAGAAAAGATGCTTTCCCTCTTCTACATTCCAGCCCTTCAGGTATTTGCAGACTGCTACCACATCCCCTATTAAAGTGCCTTTTCCACAAACATGCCCACCTCTTCATATGACTTGCTTTCCAAGCCTTTAACCATCTTTGTTGCCCACCTCTGGACCCTCTCTAACTTCCTCATGTCCTTTTTAAAATATAGAGCCCAGAACCACACACAGTATCCAGATGAGGCCATTCCAGTGCTGAGTAGAAAGGCACTATCACCTCCCACATCTTGCACTTAATGCTTCTATTGATGCAGCCCAAATCTGCATTGGCCTTTTGTACAGCTGTATCACACTGAAGCCTTGTATTGACTCTGTGATCTACCAAGACTCCCAGATCCTTTTCCATAGAACTGCCATCCAGCCAGGTGTCCCCCATTTTGTATTTGTGTTTTTGATTGTTCCTTCTGAGGTGTAGCACCTTGCATTTATCTGCATTCAACTTCATCCTGTCAGATGCAGCCCAACTTTCCAATCTGTTTAGATCCTTCAGAATTGCACTCACATCCTCCAAAGTGTTCACAATCCTTCCACGTTTCCTCCACAAACTTGCTCAAGAAGCTTTCTATGCCAGCATCCAAATCATTAATAATCATACTGAACAGCCCCAGGACCAGGACAGACCCCTGTGGCAATCTACTGAAAACCTGCTGTTCTGATAGAGACCCATTAAGAATTACCCTTTGCTTACAGCTATTGAGCCAGTTATCTATCCATCTTGTGGTATTTTTACCAAGCCCCCATTTCTCCAATTTGTTTAGGAGAAGGTCACATGGGAGCTTGTCAAAAACCTTGCTGAAGTCCTTACACATGATATCCACAGCATCCCCGACATCTACTCAAGTAGTTACATTGTGAAAGAAGGAGATCAGGTTTGCCTGACACAATCTGCTTTTCATAAAACCATGCTGCCAGTTTGCAATCAGCCTTTCCTCCCCCAGGCTTTCCTTGATAAGCTCCACTAATTTCCCAGGTATTAAGGTGAGGCTAAGCAGTCTGTAGTTCCCCGGGTCCTCATCCTTGCCTTGTTAAAGAGGGGAACTTCATTGGCCCTTTTCCAGTTCTCTGGTACCTGTTGTGTCTCCCACGACTCCATGGAGATCATTGCCAACAGGTCCAAAATCTCCTCTGTCAGTTCCTTCAGGACCCTGGGATGGAGCTCATCCAGCTCTGCTGGCTTGAATTCATTCAGACCCAACCCTCCTAGTGTCATATATTTGGATTTCCAAAAGGCCTTTGACTGGGTCTCCCATGTGTCCCCAAGGTAAAATTGGGGAACAGCAGCCTCAACAGCCTTACAGTCAGACGGCTGGGGAACTGGCTCCGTGGTTGGAATCAGAGAGTGATAGTTAATACAGCAGCAGATCTCTCATCTCAACACCTGCCGAGAGCCTGGGACTCAGCTGGTGCCAGTCACTGCCATCTAGGAAGAAGAGCAGATGTCATCAGCCCTGGACTCTGGGGAAGCCAGAGGCTCAGTTAGGACTGGCCTCATTGTGCCTGGAACAGCACAGACCCTTGGCAGAGCCAGCCACTATCCAGCACTGCACCACCATCTGCGGACAGAAAGTCCCAGCCCTGGCCTTGGTGGGGGATAGGGGGTACCAAATACCCACCTCGCTGCCCCTTATTTGTGGGTTTGAAGCTTGGAGCAAAATCCCCTTTCTTGAGTCTTAGCTGCCCAGTGCTTCTCCTCGGGGCCTTGGGCTTTGCTTCCCAGCTCTGCTGGAGCCTCCTTCCCGAGACAGGGGAGGCTGCAAAAGGCCCTTTTGGCATCATCTGCAGGCTCGAGTCCCAGAGCAGCGGGGCTGGAAGGGCTGTGCTTTCGATCTGCTGCTCACACCTAGAGTAAAGCTGTTTGGGGTTCCCCGTCCCGCGCTCCTGCCTCCGGTCCCATCTCAATCCGCCGGCCTACAAGGCTGTCATCCTGGCACAGACAGCGTCTCCCTTGCACCAACGTTATGTCCTGAGTCTCTCTCCTGCTTGGGCCCAGACAAGCCCCCGCTCTGGTACAGGTTGCACGACTCAGAGGTAAGCCGGCAAGGGGGGCTGGAGGACTCGGGGGAAACTGAGGCACGGGGGAGGCCCGGGCACAGAAGCTGCAGGGCCCGGGGCAAGGGGACGCTCAGGGAGCTGAGGGCCCCTGGGGAGAGATGCGAGTAGTGTGTGCAGTGTGTAATGCGATGTGTGCGGTGTGTAACGTAACGCCCGGCGTGCGCTGGAAACGTGCTACGAGCGCGTGCCAGAAGGGGAGCAGCCTGGCGGGGACGGACCCCGGACTACAAATCCCAGAGGCACCCGGGAGCTGGACGAGGAAGCGAGGAGACAGCCCGCACTGCAAACCCCAGAGCACCTTGGGGGCAGGAGGGCGAGGTGGCGCCGCACCTGGGGGCGGTGGCGCCTGCTCCGCGCTGGCCTGGCGCGGGGAGGAGCGTCTGCGCAGCGGGGCCGAGCGAGAGCCGCTGCACCTGGTCCCGGCCTGCAGCCCGGCGCCGAGCCACTCTGCGCTGGAGCTGGTTTGGGGACGCGGCCGGGGCGGGCAGGGGACTCTGGGCTGCGCCCCAGCCGTATGACCCACCTCTTCACCTGCCCTCC